AGAAAAATCTCTATCAATGTTTAGCTATGCTTCCATCAGAAGATTAATCACTTATGCAAGCAAAATCATAAACATAGTTTCAGAAACAATAACGACCGTGAAATGGGCAGAAACCCAAGAAGAGACCACTTAAGGCATAGTTAATTTTGCCTTGAAATTTTTTTATCATACTACAGATGGAAGCTTAAGGAACAAGTTTTGGTCACTGTTTAGAAAAATATAAGATTATTAATAGCCAGATAATTCGGCAAGAAACAACGATGTCAAGAGACCCATTTCTTTACCAAAATTATAAATGAAGTCTCAAATAATGAGACAGGTCTTAGTGACCTGAGGCTGCCTTTGGACTGCACCCTGCCATAACATAATATAAATATTAAACAGAACACCTAAGCATAAGGATTCGATTCCACTAATGGCATTAACCTTAAAGGCGTGTATTTTGATAAGAACATACCTCCCAAAATCAATCTACTCGAACAACTCCCAAGGATATCATATGGGAGTTGGGACACAAGCAATTAACTCTGTGCAATTGTTTTCCTCAAGAACCCAGAACAATTGTTTGGCCTCTAGCTTCTACATCCCAGAAAAAAATGTCTAAGTTACAGCATATCCAGTTCCATCCTTATTTTTATCATTAATTGAATGCTCACCCTGGCTGGATTAACAATGTTAACCTCAAAATTCTATACATCTCAGAGTAAAGAGACAATTCGTCATCTAACTCATGGAAGCTTAGCCATTCAAAAATCTCACACGTGAAAAACCACCACAAAGATGATTTAGGCAATACACAAACTTCCCTAAGACTATACTAATCAAAACATTCTACGTAAGATAGGATTCTCAAAGGCTAATTTTCAAAGAAAGGGCTCATGATTCAAACGTGAAAGCCAATGGCTGAAAGTGACACCATATCTGTTAACAAACTCATGTGGGAATGTTCCACAACAAGAGAGAGATGAAGCAAACTCAGACATACTTACGGTCTCAACAGCTTAATCTTCTTTTGAACCATTAAACATTTGTTATCAACAATCTAACACCGTCAATTATTTGATTAATGAGAAGAGGGGAAGTAGCAAAGAAATTTACTTCATTAAAGCCAATAGGCATAAGTATATCAGACAACACATAACCTTCTCTACAGACAACATTTAGATGGCAAGCTTTAATGGCTTGCTTGGCATTTGTTCAATCTTATTAAAAGAACCGCTCCACAAGAAGTATAAAAGGTCTCCACTAATTGGCTATATACAGCTCTTAGAAAGATTCCATAATAGGACTAACTTAAGCCACTCGCTCTCTCAGCCCTGGAAAATAAGCCACTCGCTCTTTCAGCCCTGGAAAATAAGCCACTCGCTCTCTCAGCCCTGGAAAATAAGCCACTCGCTCTTTCAGCCCTGGAAAATAAGCCACTCGCTCTCTCTTCCCTGGAAATTAAGCCACTCGCACTCTTTTCCCAGCCGTAACCAAACACCAATTATTCTCAAGCAACAGTATCTAAGGCTCTAAACCCTGGTGAAATAAGCTTCATTACCCTGAGTCCCTGACCAATGATCGTAACCTAATTCTCTGACATCTCCCTCTTCTTGCAATATCTCCTACAGATTTAACACCCCAAAAACCACTCCTACATGCACTAATTGCGCCTTTTCAACAAACTTTTCAAATGCAATTCATCATTAAACCCCAAAAATACACCAACTCAGAGTCCCTGACCAGTATCTAAGGCTCTAAGCCCTGGTGAAATAAGCTTCATCACCCTGAGTCCCTGACCAATGATCGTAACCTAATTCTCTGACATCTCCCTCTTCTTGCAATATCTCCTACAGATTTAACACCCCAAAAACCACTCCTACATGCACTAATATCGCCTTTTCAACAAACTTTTCAAAGGCAATTCATCATTAAACCCCAAAAATACACCAACTCAGAACCTAAATGGTACCTATATACATAATACCATAATTTTTCATAATCTATTTCAGTTTTCCACCACCATTTCATGGATAGCAAGCACAGGCCGACGATCTACATTCATCATTTCCCTAAAATTAGCCATTATACTCCGACAACAAAACTTCGAAACATAATCAATACACCCTATAAGAGGTTCCCATCATCCACAAATCAAAATAGAAACAAATAACAAAATCATACAAAACAAATAAACAGATCAAAAACTACAGAATCAAGCATTACCCAACACCCACAAATCACAAAACCCTAAAATTAAATTCAAAATACAGATGAATAAAAATACAATTGAAAAAAACCAATTAATTTTTTTTTAAAATTCAAAAAATCTTACCAATGAGAGAGAAAGAGCTCATTTAGCAACCATCCTAGCAATGAAATCCTCATACTTAATTCGACCATCAGATCCAACCTCAACCTCACGAATCCATTCATCAAACTCAGCAGGCTCAAGCTTTTCACCAATACTAGTAAGAATATGCCTCAGATCCGAAACAGCAACAAACCCAGTTCCCTCTTTATCAAGCACTTTGAATGCATCCCTAAGTTGACGATCAAAAGGTTCAGGTTTCAGGTATTTAGACATTAGATCTAAGAACCTGTTGAAATCAAAAGCTGCTGTTAATTTTTCTTGGGAAATGATTTCTTTGAGCTGGGCTTGTGTTGGATTTCCACCCAATGAACGCATCAGAATTCCGAGCTCAGATGGTGCGATTTTGCCATCGTTGTCTGTGTCGAAAAGGGTGAATGCTTCTTTCATGGAACTTACTTGATCATCGCTCAAATCTTTGCCCATTTTTTTCTGGGTTTGATTGTTTTTTGATGAATTTTTGTGGGGTGGAAAACTGGGATTTTGATGAAGACGGTGGGGAATGTTTGTGTTTGTGAGATGGAGAGGTGGAGATGTTATGGAAAAGGAGAAGGCTTTTTGCTGTTTTCTCTCTCCTCGAAAATTTGCGTCTTTTGAGGTTTGAATGAACGGGGCTATGTTTTTTTGTTTTTTTTTTTTTTTGTAATAGAGTAATCAATCACATATTCAAAATTTCAATTTTTCCAATCCAAGAAATAATTTTAAAAAAAAACAATTAAAATAACATATTCACCTCGTATTCTTATGTATTAGCGGAGTAATTATAATTTAAAATTAATTAATAAAGATTGGTATAAATTGAAATACACCGTTAAATACAATTTCAATTCAAATTTAAACACGCTATGCATAAACGTATAATATTGTGTGGTGTTTAACTAGTTTTTATTGGGAACCATTTTGTCTGATTGTATCTCAATATATTAAACTCAACCCACAATTTCAAATATCTCCTCAATTGTAACAAGTTAGCAACAAATTTCTTCTTTATAGTGATATTTCAGCACATTATATAGAGTTGAGCATGGGTCAGACTGACATGAGAGTTAGTGACACAAAGCATGAAAATGACTTGATCTAACATATGTCCGCCACAAATATCACTAAATGCACACAAAAACTATAAACGTGTGGATATGGAAAATATCCCAAATCCTTCAAAACTCAAACTCTTTTGTTTTTGTTGGGATACCTATAATTTTGTTAATTTGGCTAAGCAACACCAAAAAAAAATAAGCCTTTTTTCTTTTGACACATAAATATAATGGTCTTCAATCTAAGATGCGCAATCTCAATACTATAATGAAGCAAACATATAAATTATATATATATATATATATATATATATATATAAGACATAAAACACCTTGTTCTAAAAAAAAAGAAAAAAAAAACACCTTTTATTCGCAATAATAGGTGGCACTTTGGCTTGCCTTACGACCAAGGCAATGAAATGCAATGCAAGGCCATGTCAAGGAAATGCATCTTAAAAAAGGATAACAAGGTGGGTGAAGGCATGAATGAAATAGTTTTGGGCATCAAGTATGCTTCCCAAGGTTTTTAGTTCCTATGAGAATCTTGAAAAACATGTTGATGTCTAACCTAACTTGTCACTTTGTCAAGTTCATAAATTCTCTAAATGCAAATTTTAAAGGCTATAATACACAAAATTGGACCAATTTAAGAGATCTCGAAACTCGATGTTGAAAACTCAAATGATGCATCTCGAGGGTTATATAATGTTGTTTGCAATCATATACAACCACTTCCACTAATTGATTGTGGTGGTTGATCTTGAGTTGATGAAAAAAGATGTGTATGTATTTGTTTAAAGGCAAAATTGGCCGCAACACTCTTAAGTATGACTTAGGTGCATTGAGCACCCTAAACTTTGTGTAGTAGCCAAAATACCACCAACTATGGTGTTAGGTGCGATGCGTTCCTTAAATGAAAATTTTCGGCCTCTTATTTTACCCCGGAGGAGGTGAATCTATGAGTGCCAAGTGGATAGGAACTGTTCACCATTTCTTTAACTGTTTTGAAGAGTAAAGATTCACCTCCTCCTAATAAATAAGTGGCCGTAATTTTTCTTTTAAGTCACACATCGCACCTAATACCATAGTTGGTGGCGTTTTGGCTACTACGCAAAGTTTAGGGTGCTTAGTGCACCTAACCCATACTTCACGGTGTTGCGACCAATTTTTCCTTATTTAAAATTGATAGTAGTGTAAAAGCAAAGTTGATTTTAACCACTCAAGTCTCATGGGGTCCATGAAAAACATCTCATCCTCTTTTCTTTACAAGTCTAGAAAAACAAATAATTGTCCAAAACTGAAGGCTATAAATTCATTTAACTTTAATATATTGTATAAATTTGACTAATATTCATAAGCAAATTAAATCTATTTTTGACATGCATTTTCAACCCTAAAAAGCGGTCTGATCCAAGCTTGTGGGTTTTTGACAAACATTTTTGAACCTTGGCTATTTTTTTAACCCTCAGCCCGGCCCGCCTCGCCTTGCCCCTTGATCATCTCTAAACTAAATGAGATAGTGTAAAAATTCAAAATGACGCATTTGTCCAATAACGAGGCATGAGACAACTTTATTTCTACCATTATGGGGGTGTTTTGGTCAATTAAAAGTCCCTCCTTGTCGATCAAACAAAAACCCTTTTCCAGTTTTCCTCCTTCTCCCTCCTTCCAAAACCAAGACCAACTGCAAAACGCCTAAAACCCTAGTTAAATCACTCTCTCTGAAACAAACTCCTTAATTCAGAGCTCTCAAAAATGGCGTTAGGGCTTCGAATCTTCACCGAAAGAGCCAACGATGACGTAGGTCAACCAATTCTAGACTCCGACAATGGCGAAGTGCTTATGCACATTCAACCTTCTGTCTCCATTGTCCTCGGAACTCGCTCCCCTGAATCACCCGGCACTCTTTACATTTCCTCCAAGTATTTTCTCTCTCCTCCACCAGTTTTCCCCCTTTTTGTTTTTCTTTCGATTGCAAATGTTTGATTTTTGTTTGTGTTTTGTAATTGTAGGAAAGTAATATGGTTGAGCGATGTTGATAAAAGCAAAGGTTATGCTGTGGATTTCGTTTCGATTTCGCTTCATGCTGTTTCTAGAGACCCTCAAGCTTATCCTTCTCCTTGCATTTACACCCAGGTTTTTTTTTTGTTGGGTTGAATTTTATGTTCTTTGTGTTTTTTTTTTTTTTTTTCTTTTTTTTTTCTTGCCTTACTTGATTCCAGAAGGTAGATTTATGTGTTAATTGAGTATGTTTGTAAAGGTATTAGTTGATAATTGGTTGAGCAGTAGTAAATTGCTCGCGGGAGCTCGTGTTAATTGAATTGAGATGATTGATTAGCATTTTCTGCTGATGTGATTAGCATTATGGACAATTGAGTAAACACACGTCATTTGATAATGGAAAATGGTCTTGAAAGATTTAAAAAACTTAGTTTTGGAGGTAATAACCATTCGTGGCTTGCAGATAAAGGAAATTATGCACTTTTGTTTGTTGGTATGAGAGAATCAAGTTGGTGATAAGCTGTAAAGATTTTATTGTTCTAGTTTGGTTGATGGCTTGATTCTCTTGTACCGTACCCTAATGATTTGGAAAATGGTTTTTGTAGCAGTCTATTGGATAGTTATTATCACTTTTGTCTTGGCACCAACCCGGAGTTGAACTAGGGTCTCACCTTAGGTTAGTGATGAAAGGGGCCTTGATTTTACCAAATAGTCCTGAGCGTTCATTTCCCAAATGTGGTCTTCACTGAAACACTAAACTATCAGATTAATGTTTTGAAGTATGAGGACTAGTGTTCTGTTTCTCTGTGATTTTTTAGTTGAGGCAGTTGATTATTACTTTGGAATCATGTATCTGAGCTAGCTTACTGATTTCAAGTTATGATTGTCATTCTCAACTGTAGATTGAAACTGGAGACGATGAAGACGAAGACGAAGACGAAGATAAAGATGAAGAGCAACAGGAAACTGTTGATTGGTCTTCTGGATTATCAAAGGTCAAAGAAATGAGGCTTGTTCCATCAGATCCTACTCAATGTATATTTCTTTCTCCTCTCTCTCTCTCTCTCTTTTTTTTTTTTTTTTTGGGTGGGGTGGGGTGGGGTGGGGTGGGGGGGGGTTGATATCATGCATCCTCCTGATTATTCTAATATGTTCCTAATACCATTATGTTTATGTTTGATAGTGGAAACTTTGTTTGAGGTGTTCTGTGAATGCGCCGAGTTGAATCCTGAACCCATACTAGGTAAACAACTTCTAAATGCAAATTGAAGATAACTTTGCTTTATCAATCTTGTCTACTGACCTTGATTCCTATTCTACGTTCAGGTGGAGATGAAGAGGAGCACAATTGGATCTTCAGTGCTGACCAGTTAAATGCTGAGACATTAGGTAACTGTCAATTTTCACTAGCAGATTTAGCAACCTTTAGCTAGTGAAGTGCTGTGTTTTTGAAATAAAGTAACAATGGACATACAGTATTTGTATGGTAAATGACCTCTTCCACGGCTCCCGTCCACCGCTCCACCTTGTGTTATTTATCATCAAGACATCAACATAGCAATACAAATAACCTCGCGTGAAGATTTCTCCATGAATTTCTGCATGTTTGAAAATTTTCATACTGCCCCTCACAGCTAGCTCACTAATTATTTCACAATGCTCTCTCTCTCATTGGTGGCCCCTGCATTCTGTGCACATTCACCATGAAGATATATAGCTCTTACTCAAAACCCTAATAAATAGGCAGACAAGAATGACAATTAATCTAATTCTATTAGAACTATGGAGCATAACATTACTTAGAACTCTTAGGAAACTCAGTTAATTAGGAAACAAAAAATTCAATTACTCCTAATTCTACCTTCCAAATCACAATCAAGTGATTATACAAGAACAAGACCGGAAAGATATTCCTGATTTAAATCACTTAGACTCCAGGCCCTAGAAAAATTGTTAGATACAAACACCTAACTCCTGGTCAGGGCCCTATACAGTATACATGACCTGTATGGAAAGATGCTCCTAACCTAGGATAAGTTCCAGCCCTCAAGCCCCTTTATCCTACCTGCATTGGGGGATGCTCTCTTATGTTTCCTGTCTCATGTGTTCCCTTTACCACCATATTGGGTTAATTCCTACTGATTTCATGACTTTTGTTCTGCAACAGGAGGAGATGCTTCTAATTGGACTTTTTCAGAGAATCTTGTCGATTCAATAGGTCATTCAAATGGCGATCATGACTTGGCACAAAATGTACTTCAGGTATGTTTACAAATGTTAATGCATACTTGTATAATTTATATTTGATCTCAAAGTTTATTGCCCTTATGATCAAAAGAGCTTTATTAATACATCTCTTTTTGCCTTTCTCTGTCAATATTAAATTTCAAGCCCTTGGATAGTCTGAGAAGGTCTCACATACTGTCCTATTTAACCTAAATAATAAACTTGATATCATTAGGAAGAGTTTGAGACCAATCAAACTGAGTAACCAACCATATATGTTAGTAACTGTCAAGTGGAGCTAAGTCCCTACTAGTATTTCCCTGAATCCATGTTATGCAGCAATTACAAACAAACAGGGTCTATTTAAAGTTTCTTGGATGTTGTGATCTGGGTTTGTTGTCTGTGTTTTTCTTGGGTGGAACAGTTTTTTTTTTTTTTTTTTTTTTTTTTTTTTTTTTTTATGATTCTGGCTATGTCGATAGATACTTTCTGGTTTTCAAAGAGAGGCATTGGGAGCAATTGAGTGTGTTGTAAACTTTTACAGGAATAACTTTGTGAAATTACTCCGTATGACTATGAAGCTTCCATTTTTATTATTCTCTCTTTCATTGTAGGTATATACATGTAGACTATGTAGTAACCTGTGGCTATATTGAGGAGTGTTGATGTTTAGCTTTAAGATGGGAAGTTGCCCTACTCTCTTCACCTTTGAAATATTAGGCTCTAGGTTTATTTAATTGAGATAAAGACTAATGACCTCAGCCGGGGGCATCTATGTCCAGGAGATTTCGAGTGAATATGTATCCTTAGTTGGCTATAATAATCCTTAGAACACTCAAAATTGATGTTGATTTGTGCTGTCTTTTACCTGGCCTTACCACCAAGTCCGCCATGCAGGAACATGTTTAGCTGTCTCTTGTTTTTTATGCGTTTTGTCCATCTAAGTTGAGGCTGGTTTGACCTAGATATTGATTTGTCTTTGTTTTGTTGATCCCATAATTTTGCTGTTACTTCAATGTCTCAGCAATGAATCTTCCCACCTGTTAGTCTAGCATATAATAGAAAGCCGTCATTAAAAATGTTTTTTTTCTGTTCCAGCTGCAAATCAATGACCAATGTTTTGAAGATGCAGAAGAAATGGAGCATGAACATGATAGAAACAATGGCCGCCAGTGATCTACAGCAAATGCAAATGTTTCTATAGATATAAATTTAGTTCTGATTTTGAGACCCAACTTTCAGGGAAATCAAGCATTGAGCAAGTTGATTGTGGTTGTATAGTGCTAAATCTTGTGGTGTAATTGACTGGTAATAGTTAGCAACTTGTGCTTAAATCTGGAAGACATTGAGAACAGGCTAGAGCTTTATATACATGTAACTGTAAGCGCTCACATATATAATGTGTGGTTAAGAGTTTTTGTGCAAATCCTGTCCATTTATGGGGGATGAAGAACTAGTTTTGTTAACTCGAGATTTTGAAGGCCTTACCAAGCTACAAGAATTTCTGTGAAATCATGGATAACTTGCATTCTGAGACCCTTGAAAATGATCATGCTTTCTTCCCACTAGCCAAACACGATATTTGGGTCCCTTATCGGAACTTATTTTAACTAACCTTAACTCGTTTGAATCAATAAAGTTCTTATCTTCTACCCTTGAGTCCTTGACTCCTTGCTGAGCCATTGGGTCCATTGTGTATGCGTATAATTTGTATCAACTTACATGTTCGCCTTAAGTAATACCTAATATGCATCCTGTAAAATCTAAATAATGCAGTTAAATTTTTAAAACTGGTAATATTCTACAGTGTATCTCTAAAACTTGTTCCCCTAGGAATAATATTTTACTTCATATACTAGTAAATCTTTATTGGTGATTGTGAAGACTCAAGTTGGTCGAAATCATTATTTATCCCAACAATGGGAGGTTTTAGCAATTTTTAACACTTTCAAATGAGTAAATGGCTAACTTGCAGGTAATCACTCATTATAGTACGATGATCAGAAACGAGTAGATAGGCGGTTGAAGTCCAACAATTCATGAGAAATCAAGCAATCTAAATCCATGAACAAATGACCATAATGTGATTATGAAACTAGATGCCCAAGGTTCTATAAACAGAGGAAAGGAGTGAAGGACACATAGAAGATTTTTGAAAAATTAGACAAGGGACAAAACACTTTTACGTTCACACAATCACACACTCTTTTAATGAAGCAAATGGACAATGCTGTCAATCCAACCCTCTTTCTTTCAAAGCCCTTGCATAGCCAAACCCAATTACAAGGAAATAATTTTTATAGTATCCAAAATTAGTCAAAAATAAGAGGATTGGATTGTCGTGCTCGTGCCTGATTGGCTGGCTCCAACCAACTTTGGTAAATGAAATTCATGCACGACCCATAACCCATTAACGTGCCTTTCGTGCTATGTTAGGGTTTTGTCGAGTTTGATTATTTTTGTATTGTGCTTGACCATCTCTCATATCAACCTAATCCAAGTCCAACTTTATTTGAAAAATAATTAATACAACATAATTTTCATTAATTCTATTTATATATGAAAGACAAGATAAATTTTAAAAATTTCAATTACGTAATACTATTTATACATTCAGAACCACGATATGCAAATGACCTGTCAATTCGGGTTAACGGGTCGGGTTTGAGTCAAATTTCGGGTCGTTTGGTTCGAGTGGTTGGAAAGGTTATCATTACAAATTATGATAAATGGGTCAAATCAGATCTATTTTGGGTCATTTGGGTTGGGTCGGGTTTGGGTTCTCTCTCAGTAAAACGGGTTTGGAATCGGGTTGGGTGGGTTATCGGATCGGATCAGGAATTGACAGGTCTAACGCAATAGTTGTTGTTGTTTTTTATTTTTTATTTATTTTTTTAAACGCAATAGTTTTATTCTCAAGCTAAATGGCTCATGATATAATTCTCACCTTAACAACCAAATGAAAGTAGAAGCCCTTTCACTATGAAAGCCCAATAGTATATCCCACCATAAACCAGAATAAAAAAAGCCGGCCCTAAACCCATAAGAAAATCTAGGGTTTTGGTTGTGACATTTATACAAACCCTTTCTTCTTTACTTTGCTCTCCATTTTGCCTTTGCCGTCGCACTGCCTAGGTCTTCCTGTTTCTCTCTCCTCTCTCAGCCTCACTCAGGTACTCTTTTCTCTCTCTTCTATAAGCTAATCATTGTATTTCAATGGAAAATTCATCTTAATTTCTGTTAATTATATGTAGGTAAACAGCAAAGGTTGCAGCAAAAATGGCGTACCCCATGAAACCCACGAAGCCTGGTTTGGAGGAAGCCCCTGAGCCTACTCACAAGATCAGAATCACTCTTTCTTCTAAGAATGTCAAGAATCTCGAGAAAGGTATTCTTTTGTTTTGTTTTGTTTTTGATTTGGGGTTCTATGAATTTGTTGTAATTATTGTTATCAAGTTTATTGCTTTATTGATTATTATTAGCTTTTAAGCTGAAGTTTAGCTTATGGTTTTAATTGTTTGTATAATTGAATGAATTTGATGTCGTTTATTCATTAGGTAGTAGTTGAATTTTGTGATGTTTATTTAGTATGTTATTTTGATGAGATTATTCATTTGGGCTATAATGTAGTGATGAATTTTTGGAATTTTTTTTTGGGTGAACCTTGGATTTTGTGTTTTGGTGATTGGATTTGTTTTGCCGAAACGATAATATCATGTTGAAGATGATCTGATGTCGGTATCCCAAAACTTTTGAAATGAGTACGAAGAATTAGCAGCAATGCATCTATGGATTAGTTTGATTGACTAGGTTTTGTATGTCTACTTCAGATTTGGGTATTACACGTTTATTGCCACGCTTACTTTAGCACCAGTTGATTAACCTAATATTCGAAAATTGTAACTGAACAATTTTTGATAGGGAACTGAATCAAATTTAGAAGTGAGGCATTTGATGAAGCTCTACATGAGACAGGACATCCTTGCCGTAGACTTTGCTATAGTGATGTATCTACATTTGAGTTGTAATTTGCTAGTGTTCTTAAGCTGTAAATTAGTTGCAGCTACGTGTTTGAGTCATTGCTGTACTATGATTGTGGAGTTCACTATCAGTATTAGAAATTGCTTACTCTTGAGTTAATTGTATCTAAATTTGATTTTGCATGGCTTGATATGTTGAACAGTGTGTGCTGATCTTGTACGTGGTGCCAAGGACAAGCGTCTTAGAGTCAAGGGACCAGTAAGGATGCCCACCAAGGTTCTGAAGATTACAACAAGGAAAACCCCATGTGGTGAAGGTATGTCACAATTCTTATAACTAAGTCCTATAATATAACTTTGAGGACTTAATAAATTATAATTGTAATAATTAAGTCCTAATATTTCTTTGAGGACAATAAATAATAATTGTAATAGATGGATGAACTAGTTTGATTTTTTTGATGTTGGATTGTTTCGGAAAGTCCTTGCTTACATTATTGAACACAAGAGGTCTTCTCTGCTTTCTCTCCCTTGATAACATTATTCAAGTTTCTTGTTTAAATGAAAGCTACTTATAACCTGTGATTTGAATTCAATCTGTGAAACAATTAAATTTTTGTGATTGTAACATACATATATTCTTCTTAAAACATTATATGTATTGTTTGTTGGGAGTTGGGAGTAATTATTGTATTGAGGGAAATTTAGTGAGATGGTCTGTCTTCGTACCTGTTGAATTCTTGCAGGATGTTCTTTTAGCACATTTTCTGTGTATAATTACATTTGTGGCTTGTTTTAATCTTGCAGGAACCAACACCTGGGACAGATTTGAGTTGCGTGTCCACAAGAGAGTCATTGACCTCTTCAGCTCCCCAGATGTGGTCAAGCAGATTACATCCATCACCATTGAACCTGGTGTTGAGGTTGAGGTTACAATTGCAGACTCTTAGATGTTCTGCTATGCTTTAGGGCTTTCATAGTTGTTGCCATATATAGTGGTGCCATCTTACTCAGAATTTTGGAGATAACTGAATTGTTTGTTTGAAGAGATATTTTCATTTAGTTATTAATGTTATCAATCTTATCATGTTTTTGAAAGCATTGAACATGCGTTATTTCGTAATGCTTTATCTATAGAACTATCCAATTTGAGTATGGCTGTTCAATGCCAAAATTTTGTTGGTTACTCCGAAGTAGCACTTGTTTGTGTTCTTCTGAGGAGCGGTGACACCGAATGAGTTGTATTTTCATTTACTTTTTGTGAGACTAAGATGATCATTTGATACTCTAGGGGGGATTTCTGTTTTGGATTAGTTAACTTGAGTGTTTCAAATTTATTTTAATTCCACTCTGTTCAACACTTGTGCTGTACTTGAGTGATTATGAACGCTGAAACTTGAACTTTGTTTAGGCTTTTGGCAGTACAAGGGAGATAATAAGATTAAAAAAAATGCTACATTATATATATGTTAATGTTTTGATTGAAAGGTTGAACTTAGTGCCCTGAAAATGGTGGTATTTGCTTAACAGTAGTGCATCTTCTAGAGTACTAAAGATGGAAGCTTTAGCAACATTTCAAGCTCTTCTTCTGGATACTTGTGGGACAATATCCTTCCATCTGAACTGGAATTGTACTGGAGAGTATAGTTTTGGGCATGCCTTGATGCCTTTGAAGGCTTTGATCTGCAGGCAGAAGTCAGTGTATCGACTCTATTGTGCATATTATAGACTGAAGTTGCTATGCTGCTTCCCCTCCCACTATCTCCTCGATAACATCGAATAGTAACTGAAAACCATGAAAAGTCATATTTCGAAGAGACTTGCATATACATTATCAAATACTTGTACAAACTATAAAGAATCGCTTCTAATTTAAGCCTTCGTTGGAACTTCAGTTCAGTAGTACAATGTAATGTATTTTAGTTTAATGTTTGTGGCTCGGCTCTCTTGAACCCAACATACAAAAAATGAAATGAGCTAATACGTTTCATCATGTATGAATCGCATAGACGTCTCAACCATTGTCACCCCTGTTACAGGACCAGGTAAAATTTCGTATCGCCTATGCTTATATTCCCTATGTTCGACGATGTTCACATGCCATATTTCCATGTATTATTTCCTAGATATTCCACTTGTAAAACGGTATGGAATGAGGCATATTCACCTTTTCGATTCCTTGTTAATTGTTAAGATCAACAATTCGTGGTTGGCTACTTCCCTTGCCTTGATTTTTTTCCTCACTTTTCCAAAATAAACACAAAGCCTATCATTTCCTACCCACAACCAACGTCTAAGATCCACCCATGCCCTAATCCAACGGCCATCACTCCTCCTCCTATCAACGGCCATACATATTTCAAAACAAGATTTATTGGACCCCACTTCTTTCTCCTCATCCTCTCATAATACTCCCCTCCACAACAAACTAACACTCCCATCTTCCACTCTTTTATCCCATCTTCTAACCAAGAGAGAAAGAAGTAAGATTGCCATTTTCATTATCCAAAACCAATATCAATGGCAGCTTCTTCTTCTCTTAGCACACTATCTCATCAAACACTCCTTTCGCACCCGAAAACACACCTTACTACCACTCCTACATCCTCCCTTATTGTCCCTACAACCTCTAAGGTCAATGGAGTGCTCCTTAAGTCATCCTCCTCTAGGAGGAGGCGTGCTGCGCCTCGTGCAACCGTTGTGAGGGCTGCGGCTGTGGAAGCGTTGGAATCGACAGACACTGATCAACTTGTCGAAAAGTCTGTCAATACCATAAGGTTCTTGGCTATTGATGCTGTTGAGAAGGCAAACTCTGGTCACCCGGGTTTGCCTATGGGGTGTGCTCCCATGGGACATATATTGTATGATGAGATCATGAGGTATAACCCGAAGAACCCGTATTGGTTTAACCGTGACCGCTTTGTTCTCTCTGCTGGTCATGGTTGTATGCTTCAGTATGCTCTTCTTCATCTTGCAGGCTATGACAGTGTCTTGGTTAGTCCCTTGTCTATGATTTAATTTGATTTCTCCTATTTGTTATTGCTATGATATTATTAATTTTGCTAATTTTTGTATGAAAAGCTGTATTTACTTTTAGAATGATTGATTCAAATTTAATTTTCCATCAAGCTACTATTTATGGTATCTGATGATAGAAATGAAATAAATATATGAAGGTTTGATTTGTAAAATTATGTCATATCCTTAATCACAGGGGTTGGGATGATGTGTTACGAAAATCGAGCTAAGCATGTCTAAGTGATAAAAGTTTACATCATGACCTCCTTGGTAGTTTTGGGGTTATGATCATGTACTTGAATTTTGGTTTATCTTGAAATATGCTTTTTGTTTTTTATTCTTGAATTTTCAATCATAAATTTAGTAATTTCACAATGATGAAGTAGCTCATGTAATTGATAATTAGGGAGTGGCTGAACAATAAGCTTGCTGGCATGAGGGGATTTTAGACTAATGAGTTTAATTACCAGTAATTTGTCTACTTAGAAAGTCAGAAGGTCATTGTGGCTAATTAATGTTCCCTCGATAATATTGATTCACTATTATTTGTTAGTTTATATTGTATGGTTGTATATGCATCATTACTTGTCTGATTACAAATCAAAATGCTTATGATTAACTCTTTAAACTTGTGTGCATAACCTTACACGACAATTAATATGGAACAGAGAAAGTATGTTCTTAATCAGCTCCATAAATCTATGATTCCTATAGTCATATATAAGTGTTTTCTGACTGTTAGTACATTATATGAACTCTGTAACAGGAAGAGGATTTGAAGACTTTCCGCCAATGGGGAAGCAGAATTCCTGGTCATCCAGAGAATTTCGAGACACCTGGAGTTGAAGTTACAACTGGTTGGCCTCTTGTTAATTTGTTTAATGAAAATACTATCAATGGGAGAAACTCATGTTATAACACCGATGAACAGATTTGGTTAATCGCTAAACTTTTACATATAATCTCAATACAATCTTTTTTTAACCCCAACATACTAAAAATTCCATGATATGATTAAAAATGGTCCATCACTATTGATGAATTAGTTAATGCTAATGCTGTTGATAAACTCATTGCATTTCACATTATGCAGGGCCACTTGGTCAGGGCATAGCCAATGCTGTTGGTTTGGCTCTTGCAGAGAAGCATCTGGCTGCTCGATTTAACAAACCTGATGCTGAAATCGTTGATCATTACACGTAGTACCCTCTTTGTTTATTTTGCTCTGCTAATTTGTGTTTTTGGTTGTCAGATTACTTCTGCATGTATAATCATACTTATAATCTTTGAACTTTCAGATACTGCATTCTTGGTGATGGTTGCCAGATGGAAGGAATTGCCCAGGAAGCTTGCTCGCTTGCTGGTCACTGGGGGCTTGGAAAATTGATTGCCCTTTATGATGATAATCACATTTCTATTGATGGTGACACTGCCATTGCATTCACTGAGAATGTTGATTTGAGGTTTGAGGCCCTTGGCTGGCATGTTATTTGGGTGAAGAATGGTAACACTGGTTACGATGAAATTCGTGCTGCTATTAAGGAAGCTCAGTCTGTCAAGGACAAACCCACTTTGATCAAGGTCTCTTTTCTGTTCATTGCAACTTTTAAGGCTTTGCTTGTTATAGTATTCTTTATCTGATGTGTTGCATCTTGCATGACGCTGCATTTATTCATATGTGAAAATTTTGACTGTTTTAGCCATTGGACTAATAATTACCGGCTTTTTTTTTTCATCCAATGAGTGAAATTCTATTTCTCATATGCGATTGAGGGTGTAGTAAATAGGTGAGACAGATGATTAAAGCATTTTGTATATGCAGGTTACCACCACCATTGGTTTTGGGTCTCCTAACAAGTCAAACTCATACAGTGTGCACGGAAGTGCATTGGGTTCTAAGGAAGTTGAGGCTACAAGGCAGAATCTTGGCTGGCCTTACGAGCCATTCCACGTTCCAGAGGAGGTGAAAAAGTAAGCAACATAATTGCACTTTCATTCCTTTTATTTAGTATTGTTATATACTAACTTATAATTTACTAATTCCCCAGGCACTGGAGCCGCCATACCCCTGAGGGAGCTTCCTTGGAAGCTGAGTGGACTGCAAAGTTTGCAGAGTATGAGAAGAAGTATCCTACAGAAGCAGCAGAGTTCAAGTCAATCATTACTGGTGAATTGCCTGCTGGTTGGGAGAAAGCTCTTCCTGTGAGTAGCTACTTCATCATCTCTCATTCCTAGCTAAAATTGCTGGATTCATAGAATTGTTTACTTTCTTTTTGCAGACTTACACACCTGAGACCCCAGGTGACGCAACCAGAAACCTGTCACAACAATGCTTAAACGCCCTTGCAAAGGTTCTTCCAGGACTTCTTGGTGGTAGTGCAGATCTTGCGTCTTCAAACATGACCTTACTAAAAATGTTCGGAGACTTCCAAAAGGACACACCGGAAGAAAGGAATGTTCGTTTTGGTGTTAGAGAGCATGGAATGGGAGCCATTTGCAATGGAATTGCCCTTCACAGCCCTGGGCTAATCCCTTACTGTGCTACCTTCTTTGTGTTCACTGACTACATGAGAGGAGCAATGAGGATCTCTGCCTTGTCAGAGTCTGGAGTCATATATGTTATGACCCATGACTCTATCGGGCTTGGAGAAGATGGACCCACCCATCAACCCATCGAGCACTTGGCAAGTTTCCGTGCCATGCCCAACATTCTAATGCTCCGCCCAGCTGATGGTAACGAGACTGCTGGTTCATACAAGGTTGCTGTTGAAAACAGAAAGACACCATCCATTCTTGCTCTTTCTAGGCAAAAACTTCCTAACTTGCCCGGAACATCCATTGAAGGAGTTGCAAAAGGAGGTTACACCATCTCAGACAACTCTTCAGGCAACAAGCCTGATGTTATTCTGATTGGAACTGGTTCAGAGCTGGAAATTGCTGCCAAAGCTGGTGATGAGCTAAGAAAAGAAGGAAAATCTGTTAGAGTTGTATCGTTTGTGTCTTGGGAGCTGTTCGAACAGCAATCAGATGAATACAAGGAGAGTGTCCTTCCTGCAGATGTTACAGCAAGAGTAAGCATTGAGGCAGGATCAACCTTCGGATGGCACAAGATAGTGGGATCGAAGGGGAAGGCAATCGGTATTGACAAGTTTGGAGCTAGTGCACCAGCAGGGAGGATATACAAGGAGTATGGAATCACAGTTGAGGCAGTTGTTGAAGCGGCAAAATCAGTTTGTTAGGCCACGGTGCTGCAGATTCTTTTTGCCTCCTGTTTTCCATTTTTGTTAACTGATCAAGTAGACAAGGCTCCCTGGTCAATCTAGTGAGTACTGTATTACAGTAAAATCGAAAAAAAAATTAGTTACTGTAAAGAAAGCGGATTTGATCGTTCCATTTGTCTAGATGAATTTCTAAGGCTTCTTACAGTAAGAATGTTTGTTGATTTGTATTTAAATCTTGCATTCAATGTTAAAGTATGGACAACATATTTCTAATAAGGAACAATGACAGTGATGCCGATTATGTGAAGCAGTTTTCTCTTCCCATTCAATTAGTACTTGTTTTCTTGAGATATGGCTGCTTATTCAACCTCGTATCTTTGTACGATGTTTGGTTGGTTTGTTGATGTGCATCACAGTAATTCCTTACTAAAAGTACTTGATGTTAATGTTAGAATCTTATGTTCTTTTATTTTGCCTAGTACATAAGAAACTTCTTGTGCTAAGAACTTCACTAAAATACCCTGGTTTTTGCAGTGACTTCTGAGTTTTGACGAGGTCTTCAGATTCTTGACTAATAATTTTGGAGAAGTCTTAATCAATACTCGTAGTTGCTACATACGAAGTACATATTTCTAAACAGCGATTAGGATGTCAGTGTAGTAAATAATGTCAACTACAACTACAAGTACATATTTCGATCGCCATTTGGTTAATAAAACATACATACGTAGTAATTAATTAAATGCCCAAATCTGACGTCAATTCCTCATTGTCCAAGACTTGAAATGCTGGACTTGATCGAGAGTAAAAAATTCCAAATATTGAAAACAGCAGATGATACTTCTGTCAGTGTCAAATTATGGTACCTGCGGACCAACAATGCAAGTGCCTACAAATAGTCTGACTTATCTCTGCATAAAAGTAAGAAGAGATCGGGAGATAGAGAATGAATCAGAAGTTGTAGAGGCATTTCAGAGATGCGCCTCTTCTTTACGAAGTCTCTCAATTATCGAAATAAGTAGACTGAACAGACTGGCTGGGGGAACAGGTTTGCAAAGCCTACAGATTTGACGACTATGAAGAAGAGGAAGATGACAACATAATGCTTTGGAAAATTACAGCTAAAAACACCAAGTGTTGATCTTCCAATACTTTGTTTAAGTTTTTGTTCTATTTCTTTCAGAAAATAACAACCTGTTAATTTAACTAGATGCAGCCACTAATTTTCTTTCACTTAACATAAGATTTCTGTATCTCAGGAACTACTGTAGGGAAGGTTATAAGGTTCTGAGTCTTGCTGATAACAGTCTGAGATGACCAGATGTTGATTGTCTGGAAAAAAAAAAAAAAAAAAAAAAAAACGACTTCAATTCACTGAGGGGTTGCTGTTCTGAATCACATTCCATTCGTTGCCAATTTCTGCGGTGACCTGATATAACAGTACAAATGCAGTCTTACAGCTGTACTGTTTGTAGCGCTGCTCCCATTTCCTGCTTTAGCGCTAGCTGCTCCAATTTCTTGCTTTGAATCAAGGGAAGATATGCCCTACTACTGAAGATAGCAATCACCAATTCTTTGTCATTCAACCAGAACTTGCAGTGTCGTTCTTCAAATGTATATATACAGATAAGTTGAAAATTATCAATTCAGGCCTGAGTTAATAGGCTTAATCGCTTAAGGCATTGTAGCATCGTTTCTGTTAGTTACTGCATCGATGATCTCTTATCTGCAGCTTTTTTTGGGAAATAGCATCATTGGTTTTCCCTTGTATGTCTATTTCTTTAGGAAATTGAGAGGTTTTCACATTTTTCTCTGTATTTTGGCTCTTGTAAGAATTGTAACAGTTAAATCTTTTGTAAGATTGTTGATTGAGTTTTCTCTTTTATGAACCAATAATAAAACTGCTTTGGTTTGTTTCTTGTAGATCCTTATATATGTTCATCTTTGGCATTATTATAGGCAACTGATGACTGACTGTTTTATAAGATCAGGCGCGGCTACTTCTACGATGCGAACCTGCTGCTCTGATCCTATTATTGATGAAATGTGTTTCTGCCAACATATGCGTTGATTCAGTTGGTTCCCAGTATTTATGCCACAATGACAATCCATATCCTTTCTGATTGAAACAATCAAATAACTCCATTTGAAAGTTGATCATCAAGGCTTCTAAGGTTTCCAACTGTCCATTTTTGTAACACTTGCCAATGCATCTACTGGGCATGTGTCTGGACAGTGTGTTCGTTACCCACACTGACATCTTCACTGCTATGGGTGTGTAATCTAAAATGAAACTAACCATAAAAGTTCATCAATAACGCTTCTAGTGATCGCCAGAATTGGAAAGTTGTTTGTTGCTTACAAAAATTATGACTGGTGAACCCTTTCTATAATATTACTTCAAAATGTGCTTATATTTTACCCTGAAATGCTTGTTGTGTTTGTACTTTTGTGAAACTCGAAGTTTCCAACCTAAGTCTAAACTGCATCCTCTATGCAACAACATTAATTTATAGGGTAAGTTACACCTATAACTCAACATGTTATTGCTAAACCATATCTTACAAACATAAACCATATTAATTAGGTTTGTACAAGCTACATTATATAAAGAAGCTTGTTGAATCTCAACTATCAACAAGCTAAAAAAATGGCAAATTTTTACCAACTTCTCAAAATAGCAACCACATTACTCATATTCTCTAAACTCTGCAACATGAATTTGAGCATTGCTGAAAGTAAAACCTTCAATATTCCTCAGAGATTTACCTTCATTGTGGTTCATAATCACGATGTAAAGCCTATTAAGGTAGAATGTTCCCATGATTTAGGTAACATCAAAGTAGTTCCTCCTATGAAATGGGTGAGGATTCCAGTGCCATTGTCTACACCATCTCCAGGACATGCCACGGTTTGTTGGGGTAGGCGCGACAATGGGTACTGTGAATCGGTCTTGTACGTTGAAAATGGTGATGCAAAGAAATGTACTCCGGAGAAATGTTTCACTGTATTTGCTAATAGTACTGGGGTTTATCGTCGAGATCGACATTTTCATGCTTGGGAGAACCTTGGTGAATTTTGTGTGGAACATTAGCTATATGCTCAAGCTCAATTAGAGGAAGCTTTAAAATGTGACATTTTATTTAGATTTGCTTTTACATGAAGATTAGATAGTAGTAAGTTTATGAATAACTTTTGGCTACAAATTATAAAGTCAAAATAACTAACTAATTAATGATTTTTAAGCATAAATGCTATTTATCTTAACTGTGTTCTTGACTTCTTTCCACTTCAACTTTTTTTTGTCCCTAAAAAGGTGACTAGAGTTGGATAGTATGCAATAATAGATTTCTAATTTTATCAATACTAGGGTGCGCCATGTTTAGTCATGTATGTAGACTATTTCAATCAACAATATTAATGACGGAAAATATGTAAACAAATATTTTAAGGATATCAATGTCCGCACACTATTTTTAAAAGTTTAACAAAACAATTGACATATATGAGGACAAAAAAAGTAAATAAACATTTTATAGGATGTTATTGTCCAACCCCATTTATAAGAGTTAAATCAAATCACACAAGATTTAGCTCTGAAACAATTAACATCATATGAATAGGGGCATAAAGAATCATTCGGCAATGGAGAACTAATAGGAATACTACATATCCTATCAACCTCAAAAGGCAAAAAGACTTGAGACAATAAATCCACTTTCCAACAGGAATTCTCAACAACAATAAAGTCACATACCGTCAGCCCTTCACTAGAATCACCACGAGGGGAAAGAACTCGAAGAGTTTGAGTCCCAGGGATCCAAGGATCCGACCACACCCCAATGCTCTCACCGTTACCAACTCTCCACCGCAAGCCCCTCCTAAGCACCCACCTAGCTTCCGCAATCCCTCGCCAAGTATAACTTGGATTGTTACCAATAAAAGTCGAGTTTGGGTAGTTACATAGTTACTTTTGCAATTACAATAATTACTGAATAATTAATTGCAATGTTACAACTTACATTGATAATTACTTCGTAATTAATTTGATACACTCCGTTTCTCTCTCTCTTTTTTCACATTTTTGGCTCTATTTTTACCCCAAATAATATCACTTGATTGTTTAATTCTACTCTATTCTAAACTACGCACTCTATAGTAAATAAAGAACAGAGATATGAAATATGGTGAATTGAATAAAATAGCCAAATGGCCCATTAATAATAAGTCACAACCAAAGTTTGCTCGAAGATGTGACAATGGGTAAGCAATAGGAAAAATTGTTGACGCTCTAATCTAACCTCGTGAACATATTATATATTGTGTATGATCGATTCAACGATATATTGATGTTGAGATTTTCTAGTTTAATCATCTAACTCATGCTGGTCATATATGACAAGGTTTTCGTATGATTGAGCAATTGAGCTATTTAGATAACTACCAAGTATGTAACATCGCCAACTCCATTACAATTTCCTATGTTCTTTATTGTAAGATTTTACATATTTAGTATGAGAATTCAAACATATTTGACGGTAATTCTTTTATACTTAGTAGATTACTACCTCCTAGACTGATACCGAAAATTATCCCTTGGTCTTTGCAATCACTACGTGATGCAACCAATTACTTTAATTTGTATGATCATTAATTATGATAGAGTTCGTTATAACCATATGTCGTAATAAGTATATGGTATTAAGTGTTTTAAATAGCTCATAGTGATGGTGATAACAATTGATAGAACAATGTATACTACAAGAGGGGGGGTGAATTGTAGTGTATGTAGACTATGGTAAATTTTGCGGAATTAAATCTACTACTAAGAGAAAAGACACTGAGATAGGCAATGAATAAATTCACTATGTAAAAATGATTTACAATCACTAATACGTTGCCTAGACTCAAGTTCCGTGAGGAACTCAAGTTACCCAACTGTGATCCCTCAATCACAGTTTCTCACACTTTGTGATTCTACTCCGAATCACTTGTACAGTGTAAACAACTCTCTCAAATCTCACACTTTACAACTCTCACAACCCAAACCCAATTACACAATGATTACAAGTATTTCCTAAAGAACTTAAGAGACTAAGGATGGAAGGAACTTCTCTTTTAAACACTTTGAAACTCTATGCTCAGAATACTTAAGATTGTTTTTCCACACTTTCAAAACTTAACGTTGATCTGTTTTTATAAGGAGTTAAACCAAGCTTCCATCAAGTTCCCACTTCCCCCTTAATCCCACGTTCTCTTTGACTGAGAAGTTGGGATGTAGGCAGAGGAAATTTAGGAACATGATTTCCCTACCTTGACTCCTAAATTC